AGGCACAGGCTGCATTTGGGACCCTTAGGGACTTTTCACATCATTATTATTATTATACAGGATTTATATACAATATAAAGGGAGACAATACAGCAACAATACAGTTCAATACAAGAGGGATAGGAGGGCCCTGCTCCTTGGAGCTTACAATCTAGGAGCATGTCGTGAGCATGACTGAAGAATATACAGTATAGGTATATAGTGAAATGGGTGCGTGTGCCAATATTATTGCAGTTCGTTTTTTTTTTGGTGGATCCTTCGTTTAATATTAGGCTGAGAAATGCTTTAAATTCTGAGACAGTGTATGGCTGTCAAGTTGAGACCAGAGAAGGTGTCAATAGCCTTAGATGGAACAGCCTTCACGCAGATGCACAGAACACCAGTGCATCATCATGGGCCATTTTGTGCCTTTTTGAATTTTTTTACAAATGACTTGTCAAAAGTGTGTGTTTATTTGCTACTTATGTACTTTTTGTGGATAAGTAGGGGTATGCACACTTTGTGGGGGTCCCCTTTTTACATATATAGCAGAGCCTCATCTTGACACAGGTGAAGGGAATCCTCAGCTTGCTCTGTCCACAAACAGAATGAAGCAGCCAGGAGCTGGCATTTGCTGGCAATATAAACAGCATTGTTTCTTTGTAAATGTGAGTTTTGCTGTAGTAGGTTGCACACATCACACAGATGCACCACTTCACAGGCAGATTCAGGGCATCCCCCTAAGTATGGCCTTTAAAGGAATTTAACATTTTTAACCCCTTACCACCACCTGTACACATATATGTGGCCTCACTGATGTGGGTCTTCTTCCATGAGGCCGTATGTATGTATACATGTGTTTTTGCTGCAAATGTGCTGACCAAGAGACCTAGGTTTTGTACTAATGATTGGGAAACGGGAGACCTAGTTCCTGGTCACCTGATCATTGTGATGGCTTCTGACTGGCTATCACAGGGATCAGTCACAGTACAGTACAGTTTTTTTTTCTGCTCTGAATGGAGAGAAAGATATGAAAAATCTTAAAATCATAAGAAAAATGAAAACAAAAATAAATGCTTGTAAAACAAATAAGATTTAAAACAAATAAATCGGGGGCAGCCGGGACCGCCGAGCATTTGGAGCTTCTGCCCCCTCTCAGACGTACCCGCTCCTCCAGGACGCCAGCTGAGCCTGCAGCCACCCAGTGCCCCGAGCAGTAGCAGCAGCCCCGAGCTGGCAGAGGAGCTGCTCCAACTCAGCCATACTGCTAGCAGAAAAGCTACAACTCTTCTAGGCTCCTTCTACCAAGCTTCTTCTTCCAACTTCCCCACTGGACTTCATGGGATTGGACACTCCTTTTCCTCCCTGTGAACCCTCCCAAACATCCCCATCCAATCAGGTAAGCCATACTCTCAAACTTCCTGGATCAAGGTTTTATTTAGGTCAGTGTTAGGGTTAGTGTCAAGGTCAGGGTCAAAGGTAAAGGTCAGGGTTAAAGGTCAGTGCCCGTGTATTTTAGGTAGGATTTAAAAAAAATAAACATTTTTTTAAATTAGTGTCAGTATGTTTTCAGTGGGTTGAAAAAAAAAAGCAAAATCTGCACTTTTGTTTCTGGGCCCTACTACAGGTACAGACAACAAATAACATACATACATAAATAAATACACCTGCATAAACACATATCACTGCTATCACCTTGTCAAGAGCAGGATAATTTATTTTGGGTTGTTTTTTGGTGGTAGGTAATGGTAATAGCAAATAATAGCTAAATATATATATATATATATATATATATACACACAGTATATGCTCTTTACCTTTGTCATTAAGGGGTAATGTTGACCTTATACATTATTAAAATTACTGCTTCCTACCAAACTGATTTTTTTTTTCAATTTTGGCAGTACCTAGCTCCCCAGTGGCATTTGGTTAACAATCTTGCCTATTACCCTAGAAAATGCTCAACTTATTTCTAGGATTTGGCTTCCATCAACTTCAACGGGGTTTGATTTTAGCACTCGAACTTCAGTAATGTATGGGGAACCTGTCCCGAACTGCCCAGGAATGTTCAGCTTCTAAACAAAGGGGATAGGCGCAACCTGTAATCAATCTAATGGTGGCACTGAAACCATGGATAAGGTGCAAGGAGACATCAATGTATGAATAACAATCCATATAACAATACCATATAAAGCTGGACCCAAAAAGATATAGTTGATGTATAGTGATGAGGGGTATTCTGTCAAAAAGTAGATAGCATGTCTTGTACCAGCAGGATGGACAGAGTCCTACTTCACTTGTGGCTGCCTTTCACTGGTTTGAAGCGTAGTCGAGATGTACATGTAGAGAGAAAAAAGGGGAAAGTCGCCTCTAAGTGTGAACTGGAAACTTATTTATTGCACATAAAAGAAAGCAACTTACAGGAGAGTAGATAAAAATAGGCACATCAATATTCCGTCAATGGGATTCCGCCACGGTGAACAGCATAGTGTGCAGTAGTAGATGATGATCAGTCAGCTGTCAGTATCAGGTAAGATGGAGAGGGCCTGGTATCGAGGTTTGGAACGCACAGTGGAGCGCAGTGTGTACACGATGACGTCACCGGGCATTGTTGTGACGTGTTTCCTGAGCATGAGCTGTGAGATGACCGTCCAATCGCACTCCTTTATCAAGCTGGCAGGATACAGGGAGGATGTGATGATATATAAAGTAAAAAGACATACGGGAACAAAAAAAACCCCAATGTGTACCAGCCTCCCCCAACCAACTTAAGAGCATCCACAAAATGTCCCAATACAAGCCAGGCATGTAACAGCACCACACTTCCAAACTGAGGCTAATGGGACTTAGGCTGAACAGCATGTGCTGTTACACATCAGGGTTTTTTTGTTTCAAAGCCGCTTGAAGAGCTGTCATTTAGCTGCAGTAGTATTTGTAAAAATAAAATGTCACTTCTAAAGGTGTAAATTATACTGTTGCACAACTTCACATGTAGGCATCCTCCAAGCATGTTGATTAAAAATGATCTATGTATTTCTAATGTTGCCCATTCATTAAGTGAATTAAAAAGACCCACTCTACATTGAGTGATGGTTTACGCTAATGTGGTGCAAGACACCGCATGTAATTCACACTGGAATCACAGCGCATTCTAATGCAAATTACATGCAATGTCTGTGGAGTGCGTTTTGAGCCATACATTTTGTATGGCTCAAATGGCATTGCATCCGCACCAAACAGGTGCAGGACCTTTTTTCATCCGCATTTGAATCGCATCACATGCAATGCGATTTCTGGCAATCGTATCACATTTTGCAATTTGTATCAGAGTGTCATTAATTTAACCGTGACACCCGCACCAGATCGCATGAACTCAATGCAATTGCAATTTTGCAGGATTTGCAGCATTCCCCGCACCGCATTAGTATAAACCCGTGCTGAATGGTACTTTTTAAAATATACTTTGCATTGATGCATGTTCCTAATGACAGTGTTCTTCTACCCCATGGTCCTTTTGAAATAAAACATAAAAATAGGGTGTGCAGCGCTATATAAATAAAACACACTGTCTAAAGTATGACGAAATATGACAGAAATGGAAAAATCCCATAAACTGGATGTTAAACAGTCCAAGGTAATATAATATCAGTCCAAAAAGGTATATTCCAGTGATGGAGTATAAAACGACTTCAATCCAAATGGGTATATTCCAGCATCCTAACATGAAGGTGTAGAAAAATTGCCCACTCACCGGAAGTGCAATTTAATGTGCACATAGAAATTCCATGAAGCCGGAGGTCCCATGAAGGTATAGCCTGATGATAAAGGTGCCCTCTGGTGGTGGATAGGGTGACGGCTGCCAGAAAAGTTGATCTGGACCAATTTCCCAAATTGTCCTGCCTGGGTGGACTCCTAGAATGCTGGGCTGAGATGTGGAGGCTCAGTGCCAGGTAGTAGAGATGAGAATGCTCATAGTGTAGTATTATAAAAAGTATTTATTGAGTATATATCATTAAGATAAAACAGTAAACGTACAGGGTTGGAGTACCTATACAGGTATAGTGTAAATGAGCTCTTAAATACACTGACCAGTGAATATAAATGATGGCCACCGGACCTCCTGATCCGGTGGCTTAACGTCAAGGCGTGCAGAGGCTCCTCCTAGACGCGCTTCGTGTAATAACACGTCTCCTGTAGGGGTGATGCCAAAATTTGAAATAAAAGCTTGCAAATAGGCCTTTGAAATGGCACGAAAAAAATAGCTTTCATCTGCAGTAGACCTCAGTTGGGTTCAGTGTTATGTTCAAGATGTTCAAGTTTAGAAGATTTTTTTTCCTGGGTTTATCAAATCTCCTGAAAATTGAACTTTGCCTGGTTTGCTATTCACTACATATAGAAACTTTGTAATAATCTTTTAAAGACTATCTTGTTTACATTTTATGTATGGAAAACCACAGGCAAGGCAAGAAATAAATGTTGTTATGTGATTCAAATCTAATTTGATTGAAAATTTTCAGGTTACCATTTGAGCCAAATTAATTACTTCACACCATGAGGTGTAATAATCACATTATACGGGATGTACAAGGGATGAGGAAGTGCATAACACTGCAATGATTAAGTAGAACTAAACGTAATACTTTTTTGGTTTCTTAAATGAAAACAGTAGCTAGAAAAATACATTCCAAACTATAGTGTATTCCTGGAATAGTACTCATAGCTGGCCAGTTACATTGCACTACTGTTTATATTTTGTCTTTTTAGTATGGAAATTTATTCATGACCATATAACTTTAAAATTTTAATTCCAGGTGGATATAAAATATGAAAATCAGTAGAAATATGTGTTTTATTACATAATAAAAATAATTTAAGCGACTCTAAAGTGTATTTTTAAAGTGTTTTTCCCATCTAAACCCAAGAACAAAATCATAATATATTATAGGTTACCAATCTGTAGATATGGGGGCTGCACAAGTTTTCTCTTTCTAGGCTATTTTCCATTATTTTCACATAGAGATCCTCTCAGGCCTTCACAAAAGCAACACCAGACCCTTAACTCAGCATATAGCCTCGCAGGCCAGGAAAAAGCGGGGCAAGGGTGTACACCAAGGGCACAAAGTAATACTAGCATCTTCTCTTTCAATATGGAGCAGTACATTTGTGAATTCATGATACCATCAATGAAATGCAGCTCCCCGAGCAGCGCTCACACCCACAGAAGGACATTGCCACCACCATGTTTCACTGTAGGCACCATGCATTTTTCTTTGTACTCCTCATCTTTGTGACACCATACAGTTTTGAAGCCATCAGTTCCAAAAACATTTATCTTGGTCTCATCACTCCAGAGTAGAGTCCCAGTATTCTTTTTTTTCAGCATGAGCCTTGGCAAATTGTAGGCAGGCTTTTTTTTGTGCATGGGCTTTAGGAGAGGCTTTCTTCATGGATGACACCCATGCATGCCATTCCTCTGCAGTGTACGCCGTATTGTGTCACAGGAAACAAACACCCCAGTTTGACTTTCTACTTCTTTAGCTAACTGCAGTGAACTTGCATGGTGATTTTCTTCAACCCTTCTCATCAGAAGACACTCTTATAAGGGGTTAACTTCTGTGGACAGCCTAGACTTCTCTGTGAGATGGTTGCAGTTCCATCTTTGTTAAATTTATGTATCACTTTTGCTACAGTATTCTGACTGATAAGTAAAGCTTTGGTGATCTTCTTGTAGCCTTCACCTTTCTTGTGTAAAGAAATTATTTTCTTTTTCAGGCCTTGTGACATTTCTCTTCCATGTGGTGTTATTGTGGACAGCATAAAAGGGGAAGGGGTTTTCTTTGTTAAGTAACGCCCTTTTATAATCAACTGTCTGCTGGACACCTATTTAATGAATAATTAGACTCACCTGTAGTTGAATTCTTGTTAATTAGGATTTTGTTGTCTAAAATTTAGCTTGTAAAATGTTGTTTAAAATTGGTCGTCGTGCACTTTTCCAACATAACAATGATTCACAACACACATCTAAGGCCACTGTTGAATTTCTGAAGAAGAACAGGATGAAAGTGATTCTCTGAAGAGACAAGTTGAACAGCATTCTTCATCCAGCATCCAAGCTCTAAAAGAGGTCATTCTTGAAGAATGGAAAAAAGATCAATGTTGCAACATGTCACCATCTTGTTCATTCCATGCCTAGACGATTTGGTGCTGTCCTTACAAATCATGGAGGTCATACAAAATACTAGATGAATTAGTTTTTGTTGTGGGGTGTATTCATTTTGGCATCAACTAATTTGAGTAAAACTGAATATTTTGTAATCTAAGTTATATTATTACCCTTACTTTCATGTAATGAGCTAAATACGTGTTCTAAAAAACTGAGTTTTGTCAAAATTTTGGAAATTTTTCTTGTGTTCATTGAGATATTGATTAAAATCTTACTTTTCAAAAAGGATATACTTATTTATGCTGTCAAGGTGGATTCATGTAAAAAAACAAAAATACAAAGAAAACATTTTTTAGCCTCCCCCCAAATTCAATACCAGGCCCTTTGGATCTGGTATGGAATTTCAGAGAGAACCCAATGAAAATAAAAAAAAAAATGCATGAAGTCCCATCAAATAACTGGAGCAGACAGAATCTGGAGCAGGCTGGGCATGGCAACCAATCAGCTTCTATCTTCAGCTTGTTCAGCTAAGCTTTGAAATGAAAAATGTCATGCACACCTGTTCCAGATTCTAGCTTCTCCAGCTTTGAAAAATTCTCCCCTGGTATATAGCAAGGGCCTCATATATATGTTGGAGAGGTCCACATGCAATTGTTTACAAAAAATATATAAGCTGGAAGGGAAATGTAATTTATTGATAATATAAACAAGTATGTTTTTTTAATGTATTTATCAAATTAAATTTTTCACTTTAAGAATTAGTAAAAATTGCTTCTCCCCACCAAATTGTAGATTTGTTTATTTGTTTATGTATTTATTTATTTTGCGTTAGGATATGTTCCCCAGGAGCATCTTCCCCCCATGCCATTTGTTTACCAAAGCCTTGCCTATTAGCCTTAAGCATAGAACGTATTTTATGGATTCAGCTTCTACTTACTTCATTGGGGTTTGGAATATTGTTCAGAAGTTTAGCACATCTCGAAGAAACTTTCACGAACCGAACACAGGTATGTTTGACTCAACTGTAAGCAGAGAATAGATTACAGGTACTATGATCACTGGGGTGAGCAGCCTTTTAAAGCACAGAGACTATAAACAGTTATGTGTTTATTGGTGGTATTGGAGTAGCCCCCCAACAGAACAGTATAAACAGAGACAACATTTTAGGAAATGAAAAACAATGTTTGACTTTACTGAAGAACAATAAATGAACAGTCAGCCAAATAGCCACAAACAAGAAATGCACAGTTTTCCAGTGTTCATATTTAGCTCCAGCAGACTCGTCTTCTCCAGGCCAAAGACTATTTTCCATGACCAGACTCATATCTTACAAAGCTATGTGAATTAGACAAAATCTACCTGTGCAGTACCCCCCCCCCCTTTTCCCCTGGCAGTGCTAGGATTACAAACCCTATTTTTTTTGGTGCACCAGGCTCCAGTGCTTTTCCTTTCTACTTGAATCTGTGGTGTGTAGGCAGATTGTGCATGGTCCCTCAGTGTATTCCTCTACAATGCAGGGCTGTTAACCCTGCATTGCATGTGGAGGAGGCAAGCATTCGACCGTGGCTGGAAATGCCTAAAAAAGGCAACATCGCTGGACCAATCACATGGATTGCAAGAGCCTATGGGAGTCAGGAGTATGGTAAGTTTTACATTTTACCTCTGCACCCTAGACAAATGAGTTGTATACTTGGTCTAATTCCCAAAGTCCAGCTTTAGGACAATTCACCTGCTGCTTAATTGCAGCCATAGACAGGGACATTGCTGGGTAGGATCGGAGGCTCTACAATATATACAAAAGGAATCTGAGTGATTTATAAAACCCACACAGGACTTCCCCAGGCTCTCTGTGAGATATTCTGCTACAATATATATATATGAAATTATTAAGGTCCCTTTTTTAGGGAATGCAATAATAGAGCAGTTCTTGATCAAAGTAACTCAGTAGCTTTATCACAAAGCCTCTCCTCCATGGAGGAGATCGAAGTATTGAGGGTCATTCCTTTCTAATGGTGGCTGTATGGACATGGCCCCCAAGGGTGCACTGTAATAGTGTATAATGGTTAACAATGTAATGTTCGGATTTCAGCATGATTCCCCAAAATTGTCCCCTTTTACCTGTTTGTGCGCCTTATTATATATTGCGATTACTTGATATATTGTGATTACCATATCATCCGGATATGTAAATTCTGATCATTTATAAGTATGTATCCTATTTAGGTGTAGTATACTAAGTGTAGATATATAGATGTTGTAGCACTATATTAAGCAAATGTTTGAGGACTCGTTTATGTCTCCTGCGGTCTTTATCTGGATTCTGGACGGGAGAGAGACCCTATGTCATTGCATGAATGGTTGTTTTCTTCTGATATGTGTATGCCACACTGTGAGTATGGTATTGTGTTATACGCTTGGAAATAATGATTATGTGTTGCTGATGTCAAATATATAATCTGTGAAATGTATTAACAGTTATCCTCATCCCACTTCAGGAATGATCTTTAACTGGATGGACATAACAACATAACATCATAGTTAGCTGAGTAGAAAGTGGTTTAAGTTACCTACAAATATAGCATTCTGGAATACTGACATTTGTTATTGCATGGGCTCTCTTTTTTATGTGATTTTATGATTTATTAGTAATCAAAGATCATTTTGGTATATTGTAGTTTATGGTATTTATATTTACATTGAAATATTTTGGTCTATTGGGGATGTGGTGCCTATGCAAATCAGCAGCCTAATGTGTTTAGAATCATTGTATTTCCCTGGATATAAAAAAGAATATAGATAATAGGAAACACAATAACATTGAGGTGCAAAGGGTGAGAGAAAGAGTTTTAACTATTATGCTGGAATCAAATGTCCTAGAAGATGACTGGAAAAACGTTAACTTCCTAACTGCTGTGCTGGTGAAAAATCTAATTCTTATCTGCATAGTTGTTCCAGGTTAAGTATTCAAAGAAGTTGATTTAAAAAGGTAGTAGAGAAAGCTCATAAGGTACATACAGTATGTCAAATCTTTGTTTCTACGTAAATAGCTACTCACATAAGGAAATTTTAAAAGACAGGATTTGTGCTTGCATGTTGTTCAAGAACTGAAGTACGACAAGCTTCACCTTACTTAATTTGCTAAGTTAACATTTACCTTTCAACCTGGCAATTACCTGGCAATTACCACTTTAGTAATTCAACCCCAAAGTATCAATGCAAGTGGACAATTATGATTTTCAGAAGCAGCCTCCCTGATTTTTATAAAATAGGGTATGGTTAAGGGCGTGGTCTGACTGAACACCAATATGGCCGCTTCAGCCTAGAGCTCCTCCATGCTGGCGATCAAAATTTGCTTTTTCAGGAGCCCCTCACCTTAATCAGCCATGGGAAAGTCAAACCAGAGTGTCTCGGCAACCCACACACTGCGGGAGACCGGCACAAAGCTCAGTCAGAACATCCCCGAGCTGTTCCGAACCCAGCGCTCTGACAGTCACACGGCCTTGCAGGCCTCAGTGCCGTGCTTACCAAGCAACAAATCCAACTCACAGGTGGACAGGGGAGATACATTTAGCCCCCACTCAACCACTGAGTTTACTAGACCTACAAACAGTCACCACAGACATCAAAATCACCCTGACAGCTGCAATCTCTGATCTCAAGTCAGACATACAAGCGGTGGCCCAGCGCCTCATGGCAGTAGAACAGGCTGCACAAACTCATGCTGAAGCGATCCACCAAGTCCAGCACACTTATTACTCTCAGTTCTCTCATCTATTTGAGCTGCACCATCACGTAGAAGACTTAGACAATCAGAGTCACAGACATACGATAAGGGTGAGGGGGATTCCTGAGACCATTGATTTGGCAGCACTAAACTTCAAGCAACATAACGATGGAGCAAATACATTTGGCCCTAAGACCCCAACCCTGCAACTCTGAACCACCACGGATGTCATATGCTGTACTGTCAATTTTCCACTGAAAGAAGAAATACTCCGCAAGGTGAGAGAATAGGGACGTATACTATACAATGGGGCTGAAATCAAGCTATTTCAATACCTCTCTCAAATCACTCTGCAGAGCAGGCGTGTGATACACCCACTACTGGAATTGCTATGTGCATAGAACATTCAGTAACACTGGAAATTCCTGTTCTGCCTTCTGCCACCGCTAGGAGCCGCACGGCTTTACTTCACACACCAGAAGACCTTCAGGCATTCTGCAAGCAACTCGATCTGCCTAAAGTTGACCTACTGGAATGATACACCTTCTACTTCCAGACCAAACCTTGGCATCCGGTCTCTCACAACCCATCTCCAAAAGCTCAGAGACAGCACTCCAGGTGGTGCAGACTGGACCCTATTTCGCCCAGATCGCTCCCATCTCTTCGAGACCTGAACTACTACACTCCTGATTCTTCCCT